ACCCATTAACCCAACACTAGTCCACAAAGTCCTCCACCTCACAAAACAGAGGCAATGATGCCGACTGCAGGAGGAAAGCTGAGTCAGTGAACAAATAAGCATCTCAGCACTAGCAGGGGTCTCCACCCAGGGCTGCATCGGGATAGGTCCATGTAGCTTTTTCTTGGGGATGTCTTATATGAAGTCAATCTTGCAAGCTGAAGCAGGGAACTGCTAAGGCAGCTACACCCTGGTGCAACCATCATAAGGTGAGGCTCACCACCCATTTATCCTTCCGCCTTTCAATTAGCCCCACATGTGATTATCGGCCAGGCTGGCACAATTAACTAATTCAACCACTGATTTTAAAATGTGCAAAGAAGAGAAAAGACATTTTAAATTGGGCTTATATAACAGCCACATCATGATCATTTATGTAAACTATTCTGCACCCGACTAATTATAGTAAACCCTAGTGGATCAGTGGTTAAAATACTTGTCCATGAATGGCCAGCGGTTTGAATCCACCAGCCACTCAGAGGGAGAAAGGCATGGCAGTTGCCTTTGTAGAGATTGGCAGCCTGCGAAACCCCAGGGGCAAACCCCACGCTGTCCTTCCGGGTTGTTATGAGTTGATATGTACATATCTGAGGACAGTGGGGTGTTTTGTTTTGTGTTCTTTGGTTTATAACACAGTTAGAGCAGGGGTGCTCACACTTTTTCAGCTACTTATAAAATGATTGAGTCAAAATGATCTACAACTACAAAAATGCAAAACATATATTTATTGTTATTTATTACATTTATTCATAAATGCATTGAGAATTCTTTATACGTACAATGTATGTTTATGTACCTTGCATAACCACATGAGTCCATATTGCACAACACAACACAAATAACTATGTGCATTTTTGGTCATGACCTGAGTTTACTCTGGTGACTTGCACTGAATGGAATGAGCCAGGGATGCATAGTCCGGACAGTAGCTGCTGAGAGCCTCCAAATTCGCAGGCAGCAGGTCAGAAGCGAAAGTGTCGTCGCCCTGTTAAATACTCACCCTCACCAAGAGGTCACTGGAGGCATGGACGCTGTAGTAAAGAGTGGTGGTAAATCAGATGGTGCCCAGCTATCAGAAAAAATAGTGTCTGGGGTCTTAAAGGCTTGTCTGAAAACAAGCAGCCAACTAAGTGAGTGCACGGGGAAGAAGCACAGCAGCCTGTGTGGTCCAAGGATTGAATATAACAAAATCTAAATCTGGCGGCGAGAAAAGTATCAGAGATTAAATGCTAAACACCCTGCTAGCAGAAGGCTATGGGTGACAATGGAAGTCCAAAATCCTTTTACAGGGTCCCTACGAGGATTAAGCCTCTGTTGAATCCCCGCTGACCGTAGTCCAGGGAGGTGAATAGCCTTGCTATCAGACTGAGAGCCATGAAAAGTCGACTGTGAGAGATGGAGGTAGGTTAAAATGTAACCCCTTACCATTTGATCTCCCTTTCACCCATTTCAAAGCTGTTTCAGTTTTTCATCTTTTCTGCTCTTTTCTTTTTGTATCTTTTAATAAAAAGATATTGTAATAATAAATAATAATATGTAATTATAATTGTCTAATTACATGTAATTATAATGTGTATATATTATATGTATATATTATATGTAATTATAATTGTAAAAATAAAAAATATATATTGTGATTGGGTAAGAGCTTACAGAACCCATCAGTTTTCCATTCAACAATTCGTGCACATTTTATCTTATGTTTACATATTGACAGCAATCTCACAATGAACTGTAATCCATCCCCCTTTCACCGGGTGTCTCCCTGGCCATTCCTCCTCCTTTCCCAACACTTTCTTCCTTCGGAACACCATCCTGGGGCAGAGGAGGCCCCTTAGCTCTGGAATGGAATTGCTCTGGAATGGCACTAAGATGTGCGTCATGTAGCTCCATAGTGTGACGGTTCACTTCAGAGACCTGTCTGTGGTTTGGTTGAAAATGGAACCACGGGAGGTGAACTCCGTTCCAGGCCTGAAGGGTGACTAAGGCCCATAGTCCGTGGTTCCACCAGTCTCTTTCCAACCAGTGAACCTAATCATGTTATGATTTTGTTTCCTCCCACGGGACCTCCTATTAGGATCCCCGGCGGAGGGATGAGCTGAACTAGGCAAACAGCATCTAGTTCTTCTGGTCCCGGGGTCATGGAGGTCGGGGTTCTGGGGCTCGCGGGGTCCGGGACTCCTTTTGGACTAATTGCAGCCTTGGCTCTCTCCGCTCTTCTTTGCTCGGGATGGGGAAAGAGCAGCGGATGCCCTTGGATGACTCAAGGATTTTCTCAGTTTGGGTCTGCCATTGTTGTTGCCACGTTGCTTGTTTATTTTGCACGTTTCTCGGTATATGAAATCCAGGGTAGGTAAATCCATGGAGACAGTGACTGGATTGAAAATCCCCTAGGGGCATGGTAGGGGAGATTGGGGTAAATGGGGAACTAACAGCAATGCTTACAAAAAAGAAGAAAATGTTCTGCAAAATTGATTGTGGTGATGATTGCACAATTCTTAATATGACTGAACGACGAAATTGTAGGGTGTGTGAATTATATACCAAATAAAACTATTAAATAAATAGATGGCTCAAACCCCAAAATAAGAAGTGAGAGTGTCATGGGGCCTCCCGAGCCTACTGCTGGCGTCTGCGGCCCTGAGCGGGCTGTGCCAGCTGCGGGCTGTGCCCCTGTGCTCTGCGGTCTGACCGCCCTGCGTGCCGAGGGGCAGGGCAACGAGGGCTGCCTTGGCTGGGAGCGACAGAACAAAAGTGGAGCAAACAAAGATTCAAACCAAGAACGGGGACAACCCAAAGGGGAAGGGTAGCTGTGAAAGTGAGCGGAATTCCTAATCTAGAAAATTCCCACAGAAGAACCACCTCTAGGTCAAATTGAGTGTCATTTTAATGCGGCATGGAAGCATACTACAGGTGACAGATGGGGGATTGGGTTCTTTTGTTACTGAATCACAACACTTTTGCCAAATCAAGTTCAAGGACACCTCTGTGGTCAAGGGAGCCCCCCCTACACACACACACCACACACACACACACACACATACACACACACAGGGAGATTTGTATGCCAGGGTCCTACTGGGCCAGCCTCTAGGTATATCTTAGTTGAGTGGAGATGGACCAGTCTGCGGGCCTCAGACAGCAGTCTTCCCGGGAGCTGGTGTTCCTTAGCTCCTCCTGACACGCAGCAGGGAGATTTGAGTGGGAAGCATGTGGGTCTGCAGTTCACGGCGGAGCTGCAAGGCAAAAGGAGCAGAGGGTACCCCCAGCCCACCTGACCCAGGAGTGCACCATGGGACCGAGGGAGTGAGTACAGGTGGGGGGCAGCAATGTGCTCTCCGCTTCCTATGTGCCCAGCGTCCCCTACAACCACCTGGCAAAGCAGCCATTCCTATAGTTGACAAGGGAAGAAATACTAGAGTACCTTGCCCATAGTCACACAACTAGTCATTCGAAGCCACAGTCAGATCTACCTGGTCCCAAATGTCACAGTTTGTGTGACCCCCGAGTCTACCCCAAGGGCTCCTGACACAATTGGCACCCAGCACCTTGGAGGTCAAGTTCTTGAATCTCTGCCTGAACCCCTTCTCCTCTCCAGAACTGGCTGCTCAAGTTGGACTCGCAAGGCTGACCCCCCTGGGACACCTGCTGGCTGCTTTGATGATGATGGGGGGGGGCATTTGACACTGAGGGGACTGTGCCACCCCAGAGCCCCTATCCTAAGTTTGGGAAAGTCTTCGTTGTGGGAGTTCCTAACGCATCTTCTTTTTCTTACGGTCACCAGGATGGTCCCCCTTTGGCTTGCAACCAAGGCTCCTACTTGCAACAAATAATCTTCCTTCTCTCTGCCAAGGGAAGCCACCTCATTTCCAGCCTTCCTCTAAAAGGCCACCCCCAGGTATGCCTCTGTCAGGTTGACCCTTACCAGGAGTGACACCGCGCCAGAACCACTCTGACGCTGGATGGCATCCAGGGACTGTGAGCCGTGCTAGACGCAAGTTGGGGTGCCGGCAGGGCACACCACCGAGGAAGCAAGAGGCCCGTGTTAGACTCCATGCTGGGGCCCCTCCGCCCCGGAGCACAGAAGCTTCCCACTACTCCTGACCCCTGTCCTTCTCTCTAGAGTGAGGGGCTGCCTGGTGAGGGGCTGGGCCCATGGAATCCGCACTGCATCGACCCACTCCAACCTCCCAGAGTCCCACCATCCCCCAAAACCCTGGCCCCGGAATTCTATCTCTGGCAAGCCCCTCCAACCATCTGGGTTTAGAACTTCCCCCAGCATGGATAAGCTCTGTAGACGCTAACTTTGGTCTCCATTTGGAGTGCAGGCATCTGATTTTGGAAGGGGGGCAGGGGGTGTGGTTGCTGTTTCTGCCCAGCACCCCTGTTTCCTCTGGGGTTCGTCCTTCCCATCCCATCCCATCCCATGCCATCCCATGCCGGTCAGGGTGGATCTTTGGAGAGGCAATGGCTGTCTCAGCTGAGGCTGCTAAGCTGAAAGCTTGGGAATCTACAGCTGTCTCCGCCTCCTTTCCTTACAAGTGGAGAGAGATTGTCAAACGAGGAAAACGGAGCTCAGAGAAGGAAAAAACAAGAAACTCCGAATGGTCACATGTGAGCCGCTGGACCGGGCCATCACTGGGGCTGGAACAGCACGTCGAGGTCTCCCAGCCACTGCCTGCCCTTGCTATGTAAACGACTCTCAGCCAGGCTTTCATCACTGGCAACCAAGAGGCCTGCCTATCTTCCCATCGGGATCATTGACCTTCTCCCCAGGGCCCAGCAGGCCTGAACTTTCTAGCACCTGTGGAAGGTGGGAGCTCAACAAAGTTTATTTCTAGGCTTGCTCCCACCCCTGCCTAGTCAGAGAAGGAGAACTAAGAACTCATAAATGACCAACGGGAATAAAGCCAGGCAGAAAGCTCCTGGTTTTCGCTCCTACTATTCCATAAGAAACCAGACTCGCCCCTCTAGAGTTTAGTCCTCCTGTGCCCCGGACACACCGTCTCCTGCAGTCGCTCTCCTCTGGCCCAGAGAAGCCCCACTCACCTGCTCCATCAGTCTTGCTAGCCCCCTAGGGGCAGTGAGATCTTCTGGGGAGGCCACACTCAGCCGCAGGAGGAGGAAGCCCCCGTCTCCGCCTGTCCATTGAGAACAACAGGATGATGAAGACACTGGGCTCGGTCGGAGCATTCTTGCCCTGCACTACCAGCCCCTGCTGCCTGCCGCACAGGTGAGTCGGTGCTCCCAGGGGAGCTTAGGTTGACTCACTGCAAAAGGAGCCAGGGGTGTGTGAGAGAGATGCCGGCCGAAGGCACCACCGCTGTTTGGAGAAGTAAAAGGGGTCGTGTGCGACCTGAGAAATGGCGGTGGATTTCGAATACGCTCAGGTCCTGGGTGGGCCTGTTAGGGGAGGACCCGGCCAGGAAGAGTGACCAGACAGAATTGTTTCAGCTCTAAGTTGGTGGGGGCTACAGAGGTCTTCTAGCCACCCTTCCTGGCTGAGCAGCTCTGTAAGAAACTTCTTTCTTTTCTTGAGCCCTAATGCGTTTGCTTGTGGTTGTGTCTTCCTTTTCAAAGGATTACTAGAGTTGGTGCGGCAATTGCCTTTGAAAGGATTTACGCCATCAATAATAGTGTTCCTGGAAGAAATGCGCTGTCTGGTGTAGCACTGGTTGGCAGGATAGAAGACTGGACAGAACTTGAATGTCTATCCTCAGTGAGCCAGTTTTTAAAACGGCTGCAGGCTGACCAGGAGACGGTCAGACCAAGAGGCTTCTGACTAGGGACTTCTTCACTCAGAAGTATCAATTGTTTCAGAAATCCAGCTTGACCTGCCCAAACAGAGCCCATCCACGTCCCTAGCTATGGTACCACCCCATGAAGTGCATGCTGTGAGCCCCGCTCGCCTGGGCGCTGAGCTGCTTCGAGAGCAGAAACTCAGGTCAAACGCCCACACACTGCCCCTCTGGGTGGCGAGGACTAGACCAGAGATTTCCAGACCATCGGGGATCTAGCTGCCACTGAAATGTGGAGCCTTGATGGATGTGCTCTACTTATTCAGTGAGTAACTTCACAAAAGGCCAGAGCTGGAAAGTGCTTCCCAAAGCAACCCCCTTTCAACCTCAGAGGGAGAAACCAACCTAATGCCAGAGTAGGTGTGGTGGGAGGACAGGGTGACACACTTGTCCAAGGCCACTTACCAGACTCAGCTCAGCACCATTTCCATCCACAGCCCTGACTCTGTGGATTACCGATCTGGGGCAAGAACTCCTCAGAGATCATGAAGAGGTGATGTTGGAGAGATGGCCCAGAATGGGCCCCCAGATCTTTCCTTCCTCCCTCATTCTTAAGCAAGGAGACTTCCTAGAGACCCCAAACCTCCAATCCCCAAAAGGCACACCTGGGAGAGCCACTTACCTGCAGGAGCCTTTGTGGTCAGCCTTGCCCAGGCAGTGGGGGGCTTCCTTCTGGTTGTCCGGGATGGCTTCAGGGTCTCCGCCCGGGTTGAGGTCTTAGCTAAAGCTATGTCTGCTCCTCGGCTGCTGTTGGCAGAAGATGGATGGGAAGAAGGAAGAGGGCCCCTGTTGGTGGGGAGGGGTCTTTGGGTTCTGCTCCCTGTGCCGAAAGTTTCTGGAGCTGTTGGGTTCTTGATGGTGGCTACTTCTACAGGGCTATGGACTGTAGCTGAGGCTGTAGCCGAAGGAGTAGCTTTGCCCATAGCTGATGCAACTCCCGCAGAGACGGTCGTTGGTTCTGAGGCTGCAGTGTGGCTTGTTGTCTCAACAGAGAAAGTTGCTGTGTCTTCCAAGGAGTGTGTGCTCACTGTCAGCAAAGTCCCATGGGAGGAAGTGGCTTTGGCTGCCATTTCTCTTTCTGTACTGCTATTGGTTGGTGAGGTCGGAACTGGACTGCCAGATATGCCTGCTTCTGTGGTGCCAGCTGTTGGCAAGGTCTTCACAGAGGTTGTGGTCTCAGCGACGTGTGATTGTGCTTCAGTGGAGTCCGGCAGAGCTGGTATCTCCAGGGTCGACGGGCCTTCTACTCCTTTTGTGGGGCTGCCATCTGTAGGGGAGAGCTCAGAAATGATGGCCGTTGCCTCTATTTCTATAACGCTGCAGTTGGCAACCTCAATGTCAGCGATGGTGTAGGCAACCCAGGCCTGAGCTGGAGCTGTGATCTCAGGTTCCCTGGCTAGTGGGATGGTGATGGTTCCAAGTGCGAGATCGGAGGAGGGACTGCTTTCCAAGGTCAGGGCCTCGGCTTCCGCAGAGGCGCCAGCCAAGGTCGAGACATCCACGGAGATCATGTTTACCTCTTCAGAACTGTCATCGGTACAAAGGACATCGAAGATGGCTCCTTTGTGGCCACTGTGCCTAACAGCCTCAGCTGCGGTCATTTCCATGACTGCGCTGCTGCTGCCACTTTTGGCTGACGTCTCCATGGGGCTGGTGACAACCATGAACTCAGAAGGTATGGGTTTGGCCAGGGTCACTGTGGTGGGAGAAGTAGTCTTGGTGTCCCTGGTCTCTGCTGCAGAAGTGGAGGCAGCTGAGGCAAAGATCCCAGCAGAGATCCCAGGGCTTGGGGGTGGCGTTTCCCGTGGACGGTGATCTGAAGGCTCTGTGACATCTGTGCTCCGGAAGGCTTCCTCTGAGCTCGTCCTCGCGTCTGCAGACACAGCAGACATGTCTATGTGGTTTGTGGTCCCCAGGGGGCCTGGCAGCTGCACTAAGTGGGACTGACTGTGAGCCACAAATCCCATAGGACAAACTTGACACATGCTCAACCCCTCATGCCCAGAGCACCACGGGGAGCAGGGCAGGGAAAAGAGGCTCTTTTGACACCGTTTCCATCTATCTCAGCCAGGAAGGGGAGCAGTGGTATCAAGAACACTTGTGGCAGCCTGGCTGATGGCCGCTGAAGCCGAGAGCCCCTTGAGGCAGGCATGTCCTAGAATCCTAACTGAGGCTCATGCTGCAGACGCTCAGGGGCAGAGTGTGTGCCGGGGAGCTGGATGCAAAAGTGGAAACCCTTCCGTTATGAGAAAGGCCTATGGTGCTGTCTTTAGAGGGAGCTGAGGCCCTGACCCTGAGGCTTATGGAGTCGAACCACTGACCTCTGTCAGGTTTTCTTCCTTTTCCAGAAGCCCCAGGGTCTCTTTCTTTATCTGAAACCCCCTCAGTCTGAGATTCTCAGGGACCGCTAGGGAAGTGTCTTGCCTGCTAGGGGTATGTGGGCTCCACCAGTCTTCTCAGACACCACAGCCCAGCACTCCAGATGCTTCTGGCTGAACGCTGCAAGAGTGGAAAGGGTGTGGGCTTTGGCCTCAAAGTTGACTGAGTCCCCTCTCTGCTGCTCCCTACCCATGAGACTCTGAGCAAGCCTGCCCTCCGCATGCCTGTAAAGTAGAGCCTGGTGTGAGTGTTGGTGGCAGCCAAGTCAGTCTGTTACTCTGGTGAGTCCGTGTGTTACAGGCTGGAACTGCCGCATGAGGCTTCCTCGCCTGAAATCTTAATGAAGGCAGTTCACCAGGCCTTTCTTTCGATTTCCCAGTTGCAAACCACTGACACCACCTGCCTCCTCACATGAAGCCGGACACGTATTTCATCGAGGTTGTGAAAAGTATGTTGACTTTCAAGTGTCCAGACCTGGTAGATGGCAGGTGCTTGCAGGCAGAAGTATGGCCTGGCGTGTGTGTGTGTGTGTGTGTGTGTGTGTGTGTGTGTGTGTGTGTACACTCATGCATGCACAAGTACTGGCGCTGGGATGAGTTACTTAATCCTCCTACACCTCAGGATCTTCATCTCCCCACCGTCCCAGAACCATTTTACTGGGAGCTAATACAGATCTATCTTTCCATCGTTCAAGCACATCAAGCAGTGTTGCACAATTGCTACCACAATCAGTTTCAAAACATTCTCTTCCTTCTTGAACTCCTTGACGTCAGCTCCTCTTTCTACCGCCACCCTCCAAACCCTTATTCTACTTGTTGTCTCTATGGGTTCTTCGATCCTGGGGCTCATATACCGAAAAACACATTACAGAAATTCAAGAGGGCTACCCCCCAATGACAAAATACATCAGAGAGAACCCCAATATGGAAAAAAAGAATGTCGAAATCCAGATCAGGCCCAACCTGTCAGAGGGGGAATCAAGTGACAGGGTTTTACCCAGTCAAGTCAGCTTTATCATGTTGATCTCCTACAGTCTTCCCTCCTCAGCGTTAGAGGGGAGGGGAGAAGAGCTCCTCTCAGTCTTTGTGAGGAGGAATAACTGCTGCGAAAGGAGTAGGGACTAGGAAGTTTTTAGAAACCAACAAGAATGAAAAGAAAGAAATAGAAGCAGGGCAAAAAGAGAAGAAGTCATGCATGTGCCAAGCTTGCCACGGTTCCTATTAGTGACCGATCCATGTTAGTTTCACTCTCTCAGAGACCCGTGAACCCATTCCCACCCCAACAGTCTCTGAGAGACTTTCATGCAAAAACTATATTTTGAAGGAAATCCATGCTAGGAAATATTCAGAGGAATTTGAATCTCGTTAAACCACATTCTTCAGCTTTAAACAATGATTAACCAGCCTGCGCATCCTACACACACACACACACACACTCACACTCACACTCCCCACCCTATTCACCCAATATCCTACCTGCCTATTATAGATAAACCCCCGGGACCCTTTCAACAACACTTATTTGTATATACTGCAGTGGTTATAGGGCTTAAATTGACACACACTGTTATTTATATACTATCAGCAATAATAATAGTTCTCACTATCATAGCCTGATGGCTAATCATGATTAGCAAAGGAGAACCTACCCTCGCCCCTCGGAGCTGCTCCCGCTGCACTCACACCCAGGGCCCTGCCAGTAAACCCCAGATCCCCTCTCCTCCTTACCTGCAGAGCACCCGGGGACCCCAGCCTCCCAGCAGAAGAGGAAAAGAGGAAGTGCGAGGCCGCAGAGAGCGCCCATCCTGGCTGGGAGACTGGCCACCATGCCCAGCAGATCTGCCCGCTGCCCTCACTGCGGCCTCTTTTCTGGCTTCCTCAACCGGGAGGAGGGGCGGGCCACTTGGGTGTGACCATGTGGTTTTCAGGACGCAGCCAGGTGTTCACAAATGCTCAGGCTGAGACCTGCAGGTTCTAGCTTCTTGTCAGACAGACCAGCATTTCTTTCTGGACCCTGGCCCTTGTTAGCTCTATACTGATCAAACCTTTCTGATCCCCACCTTCCTGATCTATAAGCCCCTACCTTACTTGGCTGTGGTCATAAGGATTGTAAGAATAAGGCTCTTCCATATTATGTCTGCTATGTCTGGTTTTTTTTTTAGCAAAAATATAAACCTCTTAGGTGTGCAATAAGTGAATAAGGAATGGGGGGCCCCTCTGATCCTGAAGCAATAGAGGGGGCAGTCCTCTTGGTCTCTAGTAATAAGTCCCCAATGTGGAGGCCCCGTTCTGATCTCTGGGTCCTTCTGTCTTCCACACCCTGTGTCCAGACTGGCTGAGGGGCTGGAACGGGGATGGGGATGGGGATGGGGATGGGGATGGGGA